TTTGCAGAAGCTTTTATTTTGATGTACTCTTGTTTATTTTTGCTTTTGTTGCTTATGCATTTGATGTCATCTAAAAAACCATTGCCAAATCCAGTGTCAAGGAGCTTCTTTCTTTCTTTCTTTTTTTTTTTTAAGGAGCTTCTTTCTTATGTTCTCTTCAGGTTTTATGATTTCAGGTCTTATGATTGAGTCTTTAATCCATTTGAGTTAATTTTTGTGAGTGGTTTAAGACAGGGGTCCAATTTCTTTCTTCTGGGGTGACTATCCAGTTTTTGCATTTACTGAAGAGACTGTTCTTTACCCACTGAGTATTCTTGATTCCCTTGTCAAATATTAGTTGACAGTTTATATGAGGGTTTATTTCTGGGCTCTCAATTCTGTTCCATTGTTTTTTGTGTCATTTTAATGGCAGTACCATACTGTTTTAATTACTGTAGCTTTGTAAGATAGTTTGAAATCAGAATGTGTGATCCATCCAGCTTTGTTCTTCTTTCACAGGATTACTTCAGCTACTCAGGGTCTTTTGTGGTACCATATGAATTTTTGGATTATTTTTTCTATTTCTGTGAAAAATGCTATTGGAATTTTGATAGGGATTGCACTGAATCTATATATAGCTTTGAGTACTGTGGACATTTTAACAGTATTAATTCTTCTGATCCATGACCAGGATATCTGTCCATTTATTTGTGTTTTCAGTTTTCTTTTGTCAAAATCTTATAGTTTCCAGTGCACAGATCTTTCACAACACTGGTTAAATTTATTCCTCTGTATTTTATTGCTTTTGACGTTACTGTGAATGGAAGTGTTTTATTTCTTTTTCAGACATTTTGTTGTTAGTATATAGAATTGCACTGATTTTTAAAATTTTATTGTAGTTGATTTATTTGATTTACAATGTTAATTTCAGCTATATAACAAAGTTACTCACTCATATACACACAAATATATATATATATATACACACACACTTTTTCATATTCTTTTCCAGTATGGTTTATCACAGGATATTGAATATAGTTCCTTGTACCGTATAGAAGGACCTTGTTGTTTATCAATCCTATACGTAATAGTTTGCACCTACTAATCCCAGATTCCTAATCCTTTCTTCTACCCTGCTCCTGGAAACCACATCTACTCTCTATGTCTATGAGTCTGTTTCTGTTTTGTAAATATGTTCATTTGTGTTGTATTTTAGGTTTTACATATCAGTGATATCATATGGTATTTGTCTTTCTCTTTCTGACTTACTTTGTTAAATATGTTTTATTTTTAGGCCCAGCTGCACAGCTTATGGGATCTTAGTTTCCTGACCAGGGATTGAACCTGGGCACTTGGCAGTTAGAGTGTAGAGCCCTAATCACTGGACCTCCAGGGAATTTCCACCGGTCATTGTTTTTTAATATTTTCAAACTTTTTTTTTGATGTGGACCATTTTTAAAGTTTTTGTTGAATTAGTTACAATATTGCTGCTTCTTTTTTCTTTTTTTAATGTTTTGGGTTTTTGGACACCAGATATATGGGATCTTAGCTTCCAGACCAGGGATTGAACCTGCACCCCCTGCATTGTAAGACTAAGTCTTAACTACTGGACTGCCAGGGATTTCCCTATTTTTTTTTTTTTTTAAAGCTTTCTGCCCCTGTCTCCCTCTGGAACTACAATAATTCACAAATTATTTCTTCTGATAGTACCCCATAGATGAGGTGGGCTTTCTTTACTCTTTCTCATTCTTTTTGTTGTTGTTCTCCTCTGACTGGATAATTTCAAAATTCCTATTTTTTCTTTTTTTCAATTCTCCTAACAGATTCCTATTTTCTAACTCACAGATTCTTTCCTGTTTTTGATCCATTCTGCAGTTGATGTTCTCTGTTGAAATTTTTTTTTTAAATTTCATTGTATTCTTTAGCTACAGAATTTCTTTGTGGTTCTTTCTTTTCTTTTCTTTTTTTTAAGTTTCTGGTACAGCATTATAATTTGATTGTTATTACACTGTAAAGTGATTACCTTTTAAATTATTTTTCTTATTTCTATTTGGTTAAATTCTCATTTTGTTCATAAACTGTTTTCCTGATTTCACTGAATTGTCCTTCTGAGTTTTCTTGTAGCTCATTGAGTTTCCTTAAACAGAGATATTTAAATTATTTATTGCGTAAATTGCATATCTCCATGTTTTTGACATTGGTCACTAGAGGATTACTGTGATTTGTTGGTGGTATCATGTTTCACTGATTTTTCATGTTCCTTGAAGTTTTGAGTTGCTATCTTTCTTTGCATTTGAAAGAGCATCTCCTTTCTCTAGTTTTTACTAACTGCCCTTTTCAATGCATCCAGATTTGTATCTTTTTGCTCCAGTGGTGTGTTGGAACTTCACACCAAACCTGAACTTCCATGAAGACCCTCTTGTCTGTGAGTGATTTTCTAAGACAGTGTTTTCCATGACCTCTGGACTGTGTCCGAGAGGGGCTACAGTTGGTTCATAGGCCCCTCAAGGGTCCACAGCTGGGATCAAGGTATTGATTGAACTATATGTAGGTAAGACTCCTCTTGGGTCCCTTGGCATATGATGCTGTGTCCCACAGCTCCCATAAAAGCACTCCTTTCTGTGGATGGATGCCATATTATTGTTGAAGATGGGACACAGATAATCAGCCATGATGTACCCTATATGTTAATGGTAGCATATCACATACACAGTTCTGCATTTTGCATTTCACTTAATATCTCAGAGACTATTCTGCACCAGTACATAGAGATCTACCTCATTCTTTTAAACAGCTGTATAGCATCCTATTTTAGGAGTAAGGCATAATTCAACCCACTTAAAAAACTGGGGTGTAATTGACATACGACATTGTGTCAGTTCCAGGTGTATAGCATAATGATTCAATATTTGTATATATTGTAAAACATCACCACAATATATCTAGTTAACATCTGTCACCATACAAACCCATTTTTTGGGGGATAGACACTTAGGTTGTTTTTGGTCTTTTGTAACTATTGAATACTCTATTGCAGTGAATATGCTATTACACATGTCTTTGTGCCCCTGTGTGAGCATTAATGTAGGATAAATTTCTAGTAGTGGAATTGCTAGGGCAGAGATACATGTATTAAAAAAAACACACTTAAATTAGAAGAGCTGTTGCCAAATTGCCTTAAAAAAGACAACTGTTTTATAGTCCCACCAACAACAAACAAGAATGTCTTTCTTTACAATGTGCACTTTTGTCAGTCTGATACTAAAACATCTTACCTTATTTTAAATCTGCATTTTACCTCTATGAGGTGGTTGAATATTTTTTCATTTGTTTAAAAGTATTTTCTGTGAACTGAGTGTTCATGTTCTTTGCCCATTTAATACATTCTTTTAAATTAATGTTTAACAACAAAGACACTGCTTTCCCCTTGTGATTTGCTCGAGTCTCCTCAAAGGCAGGAGGCCCTCTGAGATAGGTGTTCAAGGTCCTCCGCTATCACACGACTCCCTCTTTTTATCTCATATGGGCCTCCGTCCCCAACACTACTGTCTGTTCCCAAGGAAGGGTACCTTTATGGTTTCCTCATATCTCATACCCCTCCCACAGTCCCATGTTTGCTCTCCCACCCCTCCTCTCAGCGGCACTCTCTTCTCAGTCAAATCTCAGTGAGACAGTCCTGCAGGGTCCAGCTGAATTCCACCTGTCTGGGATCCCTTTCCTTCTCTCTTTTCACCACTGTGCGTGGCTTGTGGGATCTTAGTTCCCCGACCAGGCATCAAATTTGAGCCTGCAGCAGTGAAAGCATGGAGCCCTAACCAGTGGACCACCAGGGAATTCCCTCTTTTTTTTTAAATTAATTTTTATTGGAGTACAGTTGATTTACAATGTTATGTTAGCTTCTACTGTATAGCCAAGTGAGTTAGTTATACATATATACATTCTTTTTAGATTCTTTTCCCATATAGGTCATTACAAGAGTATTGAGTAGAGTTCCCTGTGCTATAATGTAGGTTTTTATTGCCTGCTGAGTCACTTCAGTTGTATCCAACTCTTTGCAACCCCGTGGACTGTAGCCCTCCAGGCTCCTCTGTCCAGGGGATTCTCCAGGCAAGAATACTGGAGTGGGTTGCCATGCCCTTCTCCAGGGGATCTTCCCGACTCAGGGATCCAACCAGTGTCTCCTATGTCACGTGCATTGGCAGGCAAGTTCTTTACCACTAGCACAACCAAGGTCTTTATTAGTGGGGCTCCTTTCTGAATTGAGCCTACAGTTTCACTTTTACGTGAGTTTCATCCCACCAATTACAGCCTTCCCAGAGCCTATCTTCCTCTCTGTCTGCTCTCAGTGTGTAGGGCAGTCAGCATGGAGTGTGTTTGCTTCATGCACTCAACCTGCATTTATTGTATCCATCAGTCAGGCACTGTTCCAGGAACTGGGGATACGGCAGTGAGTGCGACAGAGCAAGCGCCTCCTCTTATCCAGCTGACATTTTAATGGTGGGTGTGTTCGATAATATACAACAAACAGGTAATAAACAAACAAGAATGTCAACTAAGTGCACAGAAGTAAAGAAATCGACAGTGAGGGGTCTCCTTTAGACAGGTCAGGGGAGAGAACCCTCAGGAGATGAGATGAGAGCAAAGACCTGAACATGAGAAGGCTTCGGCCACACAAACCAGCTTCCAGAGCCCTTCCAGAGGCCCTGCCTGGGGGTGGGTGGGGTCTGTGCTTCTAAAGATGGATGAGGTGAAGCATGGCTTTCAGCACCTATCACTTGACAAGAATTGAAGGTAGAGACCCGTAATCTCCGCATCCTCAGGGTTCCGTGTGTGGTGTGTCTGGAGAAGATCCGTACCCTCCTGCTTCATCTGCCTGCTGCAAACTTGGGAAAATGAAATCATGCCTGACCTGGGATTAACAGCACGTATAGGTGCCAGGGTTCATTTAAGAACTTCGCACCACTGCTATTTGATCTACCGCCCTAACTCATGTGGTATTTACTGCTAACTTTTTACAGTGGAAGAAACCCGGGCTCGGAATATGGAAGTAACCTGTTGAGGTTTAGATGGTTTAGACAAGAAGTACAGTTCCTGGAGAGTTGTGTGGCGGGGCTCCGGTGGGCTTCACTGGGGCATTCGGGGAGTCTGCCTGTCTCAGGAGTTGGCCCGCCTCGCCCCGAAGGCGGCCCCCGCCCCGCTGCGGCCTCAGGGGCCAAGGGGCACGCGGCGGGCTGGGGGCGGGGAAGGCGCGGGGACAAAGGCCGCGGCTACCGCGCCGCGGAGGGCGGGTGCGGCGGCGAAGTCCCGCCGCGGTGCCGGGACCCGGCGAGCCCGGGCACTGGCCGCGCGCCCGCGCCGCAAAGAACCAGCGCCTGAATGGATCGCCCGGGGGCGCAGCCCGGGCCCGCGCAGGCCGAGCCCGCCGGCCCGCCGCCCGCGCCGCCCCCGCCCCCGCCCCCTCCTCCTCTCCCCGCGGCGGCTCCGCGCGCGGCGAACATGGCGGCGGCGACGGTCGGGCGGGACACTTTACCTGAGCACTGGTCCTACGGCGTGTGCCGGGACGGCCGCGTCTTCTTCATCAAGTGCGGCGCGGGAAAGCCAGGACGCGGGCCGGGGCGCGGGGCGGGGGTGCGGGCCGGGCGGGCACCCCCGGAGCGGCGGCGGCGCTAACAGGTGCACCTCTCTCTCTCCGCAGTGATCAGCTCCGCTACACAACCTGGCTGCACCCGCGCACCGGGGAGCCCGTCAACTCCGGCCACATGATCCGCTCAGGTGGGCGCCGGGCGGGAGGAGTGGGGCGCTCGGAGGGGTCGCGTGCGCTTGGGTGGCCCAAGTTTGATCGGACTTTTCTCGCGTTCCCGCAGACCTGCCCCGTGGCTGGGAGGAGGGCTTCACGGAGGAGGGCGCCAGCTACTTCATCGAGTGAGTGTTGGGGGCGCCGCGCCCGCACCTGTGCCTCGAGGGTCGGATCGGGTTTCCGACGCGCCCCCGCTCCCTCCCCCCGCGCGGGTCCCGGCGGGTTGGCGCGCACTGAGCCGTACTCGTGTGAGGTTTTTTTTGTGCCTGATTTCTGTGGCGGGCTCCAGGGAGAGGCGGGGTGGAGGCCGTATCTACACAGGGGGATTCCGGAGTAGGGCCCGATGCGGGCGCCGGGGGCTTCAAACCGCGCCCTGGACACCGCGACTGGGCGGGATTCGGGCGCTGTTGCGATGGGACGGACACACCCCCCCACACTGGGGTCTCCGGCTGCAAGGAACCTGGCGCGCGCCGGGGTTGGGGAGAGCAGAAGTAGGAGTTCTGACCCGGGTCCAGCAGCTGCGGCTTGGGAGGGAGGGAGAGAGACGGACGGTGTCTCGTTTGGGGGACTTTTATCTTCGAGGACGCGACCTCTCGGGTGGTTGGTGGAGAGTCGGCACCGCACTCCGCACAGCTCCAAAGCAGGGGCCTGCGGGGGAGAGAGCGTGGGGAGGGGAACGGTCGGCCAATTAGGTTCCTCGAAGACAATGTATATCTTCAGCTAGTGCTCAACCAGGACTTTTATTCCTGCCTTTGGTAGTCAGTCAGCTTTTCCGCAATAGCTCGGGAGCCCCAGCCGGCAGGTCCCCTAGACCTAGTTGTGCAGGAGTGAAATCGAGGCCCAGGGAGTTCAGGCGCCCTTCCGAAGCTAACACTAGTATAGTCTTTACTTTCTCACTCTGGGTGTGGATCTGGGTTGCAGCGTTTTTTTTGCAGGCTCTTGCCTGCTCGCCGGAGAGCTGCACGAGATCAGAAACTGCTTTTGATCCTTTGCCCCAGTGCCTGGCACAGAGTAGGTACTCGGTAAATGTTTGCTCACGGAATGAATAAACTAGCCAAAGGATGGACGAGGGTGTATGTTAAGGGACTGTGAGTCAGAATTCCTTTCTTCACCAACTGAAACATTGCTAGTCAGTAGTGGAGCAACATATTTGAAACTGGAATGGTCTACAATATCCCGGAGCCTCCCTCCCCGTTTTGGGGCTCTGGCAGGTGGTTGAAGTTCTGTTGTATGAGATTTATCCTAATGACCAATAGCTGTTCTGCTGTTCTACCTCACATTTGTGTCTGAGAGAGAAGTTGGGGAGCTGGTTGGTGTCAAATTGAAAAATAGTCACAACCTAAAAGTTGAGAGTTATGGTTTATTTGGTGGAAATATTTAGGGCTTAAGCCTGGGAGGCAGCATGTCAAGTAACCCAGAGAGAACTGCTTAGGAGGTCAGGGGAGGAGCCAGTTTTGCAACAAAGGACAGGTTGTCTGAACATCAAAAGATTATTGTTAATTAAAGAAAACCATATATCCCAAGTTGAGGAATTTAGTGTCTTCTGTGTATGGGAAGATAAGAGAGTCTGGGCTCAATGAAATCACTTTTTTCACATGCACCTCAGCTAGGATCCTGGTTTTCACATCCTGAGCTTCCTTTCCTCAAAGGCTTCTGGGCGGGAGTGGTTGTAGTCTGAGGACTGCTAGATGGTAGGTGTCTCCTTCCCGAGTGTCCTTAGGGCTGTAATCGCTGATGACTGTGACGCCCTCGTTTCCTGATATGGCAGGAAATATTCTATTTCTCACTGGGGCCTCAGACTTCTTGGTCAGTGGGCTTCTCTGGCTCATAACTGCAGTTATTGATGTTGTGAGATTTCACCTGTGTACCACACATTGCTCTAGGCATTGCGACTACGGAAGTGAATGAGGCAGACACTGGTCAGGTACTCAGGGAGTTTGCAATTGAGTAGGGGAGGGGAGGAAGCAGAAAAACAAGTAAAAAGACAAACAAGAGTAATGTCAGATAATGGTAACTAGCATGCAAAAAATTAAAGTAAGATGATGTAGTAAGTAACTGGGCCGTTTGGTTGGGTTGGAGGTTAGTGTTGGAGTTCTGAATAGGTGACAGTTAAGGTATAATTTAAATGACAAGAAAGATCCATCTTTGTGTTGATGAGCTGGTAAAGAAGAGAGAAACTGCTGGTGAAAGGGCTTTAAGGCACAAAAGAGCTTCAAGTTTAAGGAGCAGAAAGGCCAGTGTGGCTGGAATGTGGTGCAATAAGGGAGAAAGTGGCAGGAGAAGAGGTTGAAGGATCTTAATTCCCCAACCAGGGATTGAACCTGGGTTCAGGCAACCACTGGTTGGCCAGGGAGTTACCTGATTTACATTTTCAGAATGATCGCTCTGCCTGCTCTAGTGTGGGCTGTCGGTGGACAAGTGCAGGGACCGGTGGGAGGCTATTGGTGTTCCAGGCAGGAGTTGATGAAGGCCTGACTGAGGGTGGTAGGCAGCACTGGAGGTGGAGGGAAGTAGTCTTGGTGACTGGGTTGCAGTCTGTGAGAGAAAGAAAAGGGTCAGGGATGACTCCCAAGGGCTTGAGCACCTGAGTGGGTGGTGCTCATGTCACTGACATAGGAAGGCTGGGAGCAGGATTGAGGGGTGGGGGAGAGCATGAGATCTTGTTTTGCCATGTTACATTTTGTTGTGACTATATCAGTTAGTCAGATGTGTGAATCTGGGCCCGGGAGAGAGAGAGGACTGGAGATACACATTTGGGCATCATAAGGTTATTCAAGGCCTAGATTAGATGGAATCTCTTAGGAAAAAGAGTTTAGAGGAAAGATCACCTAAGCCTTGGGAGAGAGTAGCATTTAGAAATCAGCAAAAGAGAAGGACTGAAAAGGTAGGAGAAAGCCCAGTAGAATGAGGAGTCCCACAAGCCTAAAGGACAAATCCTGAGTGAAATAAGTAGAAAAGAATACCGGGGTGAGGAAATAGTAAGTATAGGCGAATCTTTCAGGTGGTTTTGTTGCAAAGTGGAGTTGAGGAACAGAACTGGAGAGGATGTACATTTGGGGGATTCGTTGTTGTAGAGGGAGATTATAGAGCATGTTTTGTTTGGATGGGAAGGATCCAGTAGAGATGGAGAAGTACATGATGCAAGAAAGAGATGGGACAATTACTGGAGCAGTGTTTCAGAGATAGTGGGAGGAAAGGCATCCAGGACTTCAGTCTCATTGGTCTCAAATGGGAGACCTTTCATCCATTTGCAGAAAGGAAGAGGCTGAGTGCCAGAGCTGATATAAGGAGGTTGATAGGGTCGGTGAGAGGAGAGGTAGGTATTCCTGTCTGATAGGTTCTGCCTTTTCCATGAGGTACTAGGCACAGTCTTGGGCTGGGGGACTTGAAGAGTGTCCCAACCTTCCTGTCTTTTGCTGACTCTTCTTCAGTAACTGGTATCAAGTCCCTGGTGATCATCTTACAACAAGCCCTGGCTCCCTACCTGGCTCTCTAACTCCTAGGGCCTTGACTGAGTCCTCCCAGGCCCAGGGGAAAGCAATATGTGAAAGTGTCCCTGCGCTCAGAGGTGATCTATGTGGGGAAGCTAAGACCCTATGGCAGCCGGTTGTATTTCCTACCTCCCCTGACAATTTCTTGAGAGACTTAAGGGTTGGCGAGTAACTGTTCTCCTTTTCCCCACATAAAAATATTCTTTCAGTCTGTTTTCTTAGATTTGCTATGAGCATTTCTGAGTGTTGTATTTTTTGTGGATCCTCTTCCAATAGGGCTCAGTCAGAGGGACAAAGCACTTGTGCAGCTGCTTGTATTTTCCCTACTGGATCCTTGTACTGGAGCATCATGTGAATTTTTTAGGATACATCAGTAGATTTGGCAGATGTTTGAATACTTTCCAGAGAAAAATTTCTTGAAGCAGGAAACCTTGAGCTAAGGCAGGTGGATTTTAGTTTGATTTCTGCACTTTTGGTTCGTTTGGGGGTTAACTTGGGACAGAAACAAGGACTCTACTCCTGGCTCTCCCGGTTCTAGACTCCATGATGCTGGTATTCCCTAGGAAGACTTCCTGTAATCTAACACTTAACTTTCTCTTAGGCAGAGACCAAGTTATGATAGTAAGTGGGATAGTAGTGTCATTAACAGCATTAGCAATGGTAGCGGTAGCAATTATGTAATGCTGCTGCTGCTAAGTCGCTTCAGTTGTGTCCGACTCTGTGCGACCCCATAGACGGCAGCCCACCAGGCTCCTCCGTCCCTGGGTTTCTCCAGGCAAGAACACTGGAGTGGATTGCTGTTTCCTCATCCAGTGCATGCATGCATGCTAAGTTGCTTCAGTCATGGCCAATTCTGTGCGACCCTATGGACAGCAGCCCACCAGGCTCCTCTGTCCACAGTATTCTCTAGGCAAGAATACTGGAGTGGGCTGCCATTTCCTTCTCCAGCAATTATGTAATAGCTCCATCTTTTTGAGTCCTTGAAAAATGCCAGAAACTGTTTTTGTAACTATTATCTGATTTAATTCTCACAACAACTTGGTGAAGTAGGAACTGTTACTAGTTCCATTTTACCAACGAGGAATCTTGTATAATCCTGGGTATTCAGGTGGAAAAGGACAACTGATGTTCTTCAGTACCTTTTCTTTTTTGAAATGTTATTTATTTATTTTTGGCTGTGCTGTGTCTTCATTGGTGCCACGGAGTCATCTTTTCTTTAGTTGCAGGGACCAGGGGCTATTCTTTGTTGCAATGTGTGGGCTTTTCATTGTGGTGGCTTTTCTTGTTGCAGAGCACGGGCTCTAGGGTATGCAGGCTTCAGTAGCTGTGGCTTGCAGACTCTAGAGCACAGAGTCAATAGTTGTGGCACATGGTTTCAGTTGCTCTATGGCATGTGGGATCTTCCTGGACCAGGGATTGAACCCTAGTCTCTTGGATTGGCAGGCAGATTCTTTACCACTGAGCCACCAGGGAAGCCCCATCCAGTACCTTTTTCTATTGATCCTTCTAACAGGCCCTAGAAGCAGCAAATCATGGATTATCCTGTTTTACAGATGATGAAATTCAAGTTCGTCAAAGTTCAGTTATTTGGCTGAAGTGTTAGAGCTGGGACTAGATTGTAGGTCTTCATGGTC